CCCACCGACCATCTCTCCTCATGCCCCCACACCAAGATGAAGAGGAGGCTCCAGGCCATGGGGGGCTCCTTGTCTTGAGGGGCTGCTGCAGCAAAAAGCATTAATGTCTTGAGTGTCTCATGGGGGTAAGAGAAAAGCCCACACCCTGAAGACCAACCCTCCCAGCTGAGGGTTGTATAAGCCAAAACACGGCCAGGGTTTAAATCCAGACCCCACTAGGCTCAGCCTCATCTTTTGTGAAGAGTCTCTGAAGGCAGAATCTGGCCTGCTTTGGGGGTGGAGGAGATGGCATGAAGGGCAGAATGTCCTGGAGCGCCAGTGAGTCTCAAAATGAGAGTGCAAAGGGGCTTTACGTGCCGATTTCAATGCCAAAGTCAATGCCTCTAACAGAGTTCACAGAGGCCTCTGAGGAGCTGGCTTATGAGCTCTGTAGCCCTGGCAGATGCGATAAGTCCTTGTAAAAAGAGATTTGGAAGGGGTGAGGAGCAGCTATGAAGGAGGAACAAAAGAAGGAGGCACAAGATAAGATGCTTGGAAAAGAAGGCAGCCTCAGGAGAGAGAAAGATGCTTCAGGAAAACAAGGGGGGGAAAGAGGGGCAGGAGAAAAAGAGCTAACACTGCGGGACAGCTCCCACGCTGGGCACATGGACTCATTCTCTTTGTGAGACAGCATGATTCCCAGCAGGAGACTCAAGGTTAATCACAGTACCCAAGGTCACCCAGGTAACAAGTGGGACAACTCGGATTCAAACTCAGGCCAGACTCTAGGTCTGTGTGCAGGGAAAACAAGGATACTAAAGATGTAAAGACTGTGAAAAACAACAAAAAAGATGGAGTGTGGAGGGGACAGAGAAGTGCAGGAAGAAGGGACAACCCTCAGACAGGAAGTAGGCCCTGGAGCCCAGCTGGCCATGCCTGGTCTGGGGCTGGGCTGGTGGGAAAGAGCAGGAAAGGACCCTGCTTGCATGGACGGCTCTGGGACTTAAAAGTTGCCGAGTGGGTGTGATGAGAGTGGAGGGGGCAAGGAAGAGCATCTGGGTTTTAGCTGCAGGATGAGGGGCAGGGAAAGGACTTGTACACTGGTTCCAGAGCTGAGTGCAGAAAACAAGATCATGCATGAGAAGGACGGCAGCAAGAGGAAGGGGAAAGGACTGACACGGGAAGGTCACAGGTAGTGTGTGGGCAAGTATTATCTCCACAGTGCAGGAAAGGAACTGAGCTCAGAACGAGGCTATTGTGCTGGTGCTTTTCCTGCCATGCTTCCTAATCCCAGTACACACCAGGAAAGGAACTGCCCTAAAGTGTGGATAGAAACAGACCGCCATCCTGTCCCTCTTGTGAGTAAAAGAGCCCAAACTTTGAGCCCTGGCATGTGCTCGCAGAGTGGGAGCAGTACCCACCTCCTCTCCTTTGCTGAGCCGATCTACCAACATGTGCCTGCAACAAAAAGGCAAGGAGGTCAAAGACAGCAGCGCCGAGACAGGAGGGCAAGTGGCAACCCAAGTCACAGGGACTGTGGCTTTGACACCACAGCCTCAGGTGGGGCCTGACCAGCACCTTTCAGTCTTTCTCAAGGGGGTGGGAGGTTCCTCACTTCCAACACTGGCAGAGAAGCCACTACACCCATATATACACAGAAACGTAACTCTCAAGGCACTACCCCCACCCAAAACCTGACGTTCCCAAAAGGCTTACCCAAAGAGGAACCAGTCATAGGCCACCGTTAGGTAGAGGATCTCAGCAGGCTTCAGGGACGTGTGGATAAGCCCATCCTGGAAGAGACGGGGGGGTCATGCCGAGATCAGAAAGATGCCTTCCCATGACAAAGCACCTTCCTCGTTCCAGGAGCTGAACCACAACCACAAACCCAGTGACAACAAGGCTACCCAAAAGCCCCAGAAACAGGGTTAAACACACCTCACTCCAAGCCTTCTACTTTCTGGAAACAGTCCTACTGCTCCCAAAGGGTAGATCTTGCTAGGGGCCTCTGAATGCTCCCTGACCCCACAGCCCAGCCCATCCATACTCACAGCCCACAAGGAAAGGCGAAGAAGAGAGATGAAGAGGGGGGTCCGATCCCAGCCTGAGATACAGTGTACCAGCAGCCCGCTGTCATCTACTCAGGAACCACAGAACAGAGGCCCAGAAAAGAAGCAAACATAGCTGATGAGAAGGAAATATGTCACCCCCTTGGCTTGGTGAGAGAGCCAGGCCACCCCTGGTCTCCCTCTTCCTGGTGGGCCTTCCCAAGACTCTCCAATCTAGTCCCACAAGGGGTGGGTAGTGGACACCCATCCATCTGCATCATCTCTTTCTTCTGCTATAGTTGAGTACTTTTAGAGAAGCAGTAATGCCTGGACGGTCACTCTTCCCAGGTCACTTAGGTGGGGCTGATCTGCATGTCACCGCTCAGCATTTTTCAGAAAAGACAATTCACTGTGCAGGGCTGTCCCAAGAACATTTAGGATCCTTGGTTAATACCCGCCAAATGCTAGTGGCCCTTCCCTAGTTCCCAACTCTCCAGAAGCCCCCTCCAGAGGTTATACTGCCCCAGGTAGAGAACCACTGCCTAGCTCCAGGGACAGGAATGTGACTTTTTTGCAAACCTGGCCACAGTGACAGGTTCAGAGATGGGCACCTGACCCAAACTGGGCCAATGAACATGAGCTCTGGGACAGATGCAGTCTCTCTCTTCTGGGGAAGTTAAGATGGAAGGAAACAAGTTTGGGATGGTTGCAGGTCATGAAGCTAATTAGACAGTGAGTATGAGAAATGGAGATTCTTTGTGGTATTTGTTAGGCAAATGGCTCTGCTCTTAGGCCTTGTTGGTTATATAAGTTAATATATTTCTACTTGTTCAAGTGAGTGCAATCCCATGGAATTCCTGATTGATATTGATAAGTAATAATCAGCTCGCCCCAGAGACACAAGGCCCATCCAATCAAAACAGCCAACTGGGGTGGACTGACTGGGCCTCTAAGGGCTTTTGCATGTGCCCAGTAAGAAGCCAGGACTGATTTTCTCTCATCTTTCTGAATTAAGAGGCCATTCCGGTCCCCCACACAACACTGATGCTCAAAGGTCACGTGACCCAGTGCAGAAACATCCTGTGTGTGGTTCAGGTAGTAACAAGTTCATAATTTTGTTTACTAGGGTTTTAAAGACACAGAATAAAGTTGCTAACGGACAAAGGAATCCCCAAATCCTTCTACCATAGAGCAAAATAGACTTGTGTGGCCCCAGCAAACACACATTCTCAGTGTCATGACCTGGGAATAGCCAGGAGATCCAATGGCTGAGGGCTCAGGCACAGGCATACTCACCATCGCTGTTAATTATGGAAAGCAGCAGTTTCAGGTAGTTTTGTGTTTGTTGCACCAGGTCCCAACTCTGTAGGGGAAGAAAGAGAAAAGGGGTCTAGGAATAGATTAACTCAGACTGAGAATCTGAAGTATTTAAAAAATAAAATGCTAAGAGTAATTCTGGGGCAACAAATACTCAGGGCTCTTGGTTCCAAATCCCAGATAACTAGAGACTTCATTCCCCATTCTGAGAGCTCCCTCCACCTCTCCCTGCACCTTCACCCCGCGGCTCCCCCTTACTCAGTGTGCTCTATCCCAACATGACAGTGAGGAAGGGGAAGCCATGCAGAGGCCTGGGCAACCCACAGCCCCACACCCTCCAGCAGCAGTCATCCATTAGCTTCCTCTAAGCCCTGGGCTCCCCACATGGCTCTCCAGGGGTTAGAAGCAAACAAAGAGCCTTGAGCTGGTGGCCACTGCTGCAAACAGAGAGAGCCATTCCTTCATCTGCTATCACATCACAGGAACCAAGGAAAAGATTAACCTTCTCACCAACTATGTTTCATTCGCTTTTTACTCCTAGTCACTGCATACTCTGTCTTTTGATGAATAAATGCAGTCTGTTTGGCAGACAGAATCTTTTAAAACAGGAGGCCCATGAGGTGGGAGATGAAAAATAGGCAAAAGCTGTAAAGAGATTGGGATCTCTGTTCTAGCCCAAGAGGCCTAGACCAGATACTCTTAGAAACAGTCCCCTCGGAATCTGGAATTCCAAGGCGGGGCTTGACCCAGTTCTGCAGCCCCTTTTCCCCTAGCAGGAGCAGCCTCTCAACACAACTGTGTATCAGTGTTCTAGGGCTGTGCAAAGAGGGCGGAGAATGCCAGTGAGAGAGCACTTCCCGGGGGGAGGGTGAACACGAAACCTGTAATTGGAATGGTTTTCCCAGGAATTTAAAACAGGCTCATTTACCTGACCCTCCCAAGGCCCCTGGCGAGTTCTGACCCACTTTCCGCAACTCCAGAGACAGTGCTGCAGTGCTGCACTAATAAAGTCATTACCCACAGGAGCACAGGGTCTCCACTCATCTGGCTCACACGTGTCAGACACACCACAGCCAATAGATTTCCTCAGAGCTGTCATTTTTGAAACGTGAGGAAAAGCAGGAGCAGGAGCTATGTAGCACAAAGCCCAGGGAAGTCAGGTGGGCTGGGGGAAGACTGCAGCAGCTAGGAGTGACAGGACCCAGACAAGGACTGGAACCTGCGGAACCATGGTGGTTATTTATTTGAAGGGGACCCTGACAACCAGGGAGAGGCAGTGCTGGGGTAGGAACCACAGGCTGGGGAGTGATTGGTCGGTAAAGGCCCAAGGTCACAGAGCTAAGCTGAGATGGGGCATGAACCCACCTGTGCCAAACTTCAAAGTTCACATTCTTAGTCACATGCTACACTGCAGGGACTTTTCTTGCAATACCAAAGAAACAAAAGTTTGAGGGGACTGCAGAATGTGAGGAAGACCTGGGAAATGCACTAAAATCTAGGCTCACCCGACTCTCTTATCTGACATGCTCCATGAAAAGGTCTCTGGGTGCAGAGTTAAGTACCATGCCTCTGCTTATATGTCTATGACTGGAGTACTCTTCCTGCTTGGCTGCAAACTCCTCATGCAAAGGCCCAGTCCCATTATCTTCTCTACTGTGGCCACTGGTCAATACCTTTACTATGCAGGTGATGGTTTTGTTGTTGCCTCTTTCTCTACATTGAGCCCAGCAAGTACTGAGACCATTTTGGCATCTCTGCATCTCTAAGGCTTAGTGCTTAGAGACTAGGATACACCTGTAGAACGTTCCTTCATTGCCTATTCATGGGCAAGGGCTAGCTTGAGGAGAAGAGGACACTGGAAGGGGTCTTCGGGCACAGAAAGAAAACACAGACCTCTATGGAATTCAATGTGGTCGCGTGGAGGGCAGCAAGACCCACACATGCACTGCCACAAGTGCTTTCCCACTTGTGGCCATCACTGAGGGGCTGGCCCTGGGACGCAGTGCTGAACAATGACCTAAGCCATCATGGGGCTGTAGGAAGGGGAAGGCAAAGTGAATTGCTGCAGGTGTGCTGACTAAAAGGAGACCTCTAGGATGCTGTGGGACCATGTAGTTGGTGGGGTGAGCCTAGCCTGATCCATGGGGGCCATTAGGGAAGGCTTCCTGGAGGTGGTGACATGTGTATAAGAGGGGAGGGAAAGCAGACATAGCATGTACAAACTGGAAAGCACTCTTTCCATAGGGGCTAAAAGGCCAATGTGGCTGGAGAGGATGGCCAGTCACAAAAACAAGGCTGGGATGTGGGGAGCTGAGTCCTTGGACTAACGTCAGTGGTGGGTTTTAGGGAAGGGGATGACAACGATGACCTTGCTCCGTGATTTGAGGATTGCTATCTGTGAGGCCCCATTCAAGTGCTTTACATTCACTGTTTCCAGTTACCCCTTAATGTGCCCCACGTTCAGACATGAGATTCACTGAGATGACAGTGGCCTGAACTAGGCTAAGAGATGGAGACAAGAAGAACTGCAGAGCCCTGGCTGATTTGGCTCAGTGGTTAGAGAGTCAGCCCACAGACTGCAGGGTCAAGGGTTCAATCCCTGGCCTTGGTCAGGACATGTGCAGGAGGCAACCAATCGATGTGTCTCTCTACCCGTCTTCCACTCTCTCTAAAGATCAATAGACAAAATATGCAGGATTAAAAAACAACAACACTGGAGAGTCACCAGGGACAGAGATTTAAGAATTAATGGGAAGTAGCAATGGATGTGGGGAGAGAAAAGCACCCAAATTTTGAGTTTGAGTATCTAGATAAATGGTGGAGGGCCTGGTGGCACTGTAGGTTGTGGCCAATTCCATTTTGGACAGCTTGCATTTGAGGTGGCTACATAGAGGGACACTTGAGAAAGGCAATGGAGATGCAGATCACCAAGAGAGGCCTGGCCTGGGCAACCTGGCAGTGAACTAATGGACTGAATGATGAATGAGATCACCTGGGAGATGAGGAGTATTGGGAGTCCTGGACCCCCATACTGAAAGGGCTGAAAGGCGAGACCTACAGCTGGCTGAGGAAGAGAATGGTAGGGGGCCCAGTGAGACCAACCAGTTGAGCAACTGGGAAGGCTGGAATCGTGGGAGGAAACCCTGACCTTCTACCTTTGTGCCTGAAATGTTATTTGTGTTCACTCCCTTGAGTTAGCAAGCTAGTAGCCTAGTTCTTAATTATCATCACTAAAATCGGTCTGGCATTTCAGTTAAGAGGACACTTTCACAGTGATCGTATTTGAACCTCGCCACAACGCTGAAATAGTTGTTGTCAACTCCACTCTCAGGTAGAAGGGAGGTCATTACTCAAGGCCACAGAGCCTTGCAAGAAAGGCTGAGCAAGCTGGGGCCTAAATCGAGGGCTTCTATCTACTTCTCACACACAGGACTCCTTTCTAGACACAAATGTCCTTGGCAGTGTCAACATATCGAACCCCTACAGTTGCACCTTACTTGGTGAGTAAGTAGTTTATCAGATCTAGTTTGTATCTATGTAAGGAGAAAGAATGTGCCAGAGGGAGAATAAGTGTGGCTTGGGGTAGGGCCTACTTGAGACCTCTGCATATAATAAATTAAGAAGAAAGCCTCTTGGTTCCTTTGGCCAATCAATCTAGGTGCAGCCTGGGGCTTGAGTTCAGGCAGCAGGGGTTTCCCCAACCTATTCCTTCTCCAAGTTTATGGGGCACAACAAACACTGGCCTGCTCTCCTTCCTAACACTCCCTCTCTTGCAGAACCACCTGCATAGAGAAGACCTGACACCACTCTAACTCATTCACTCAAACAGTCATGGAGCATCTGCTCTGTGATTAGGGGCTGGGTGTACAAGATAAAACAATGCAACCACAGCCTCTACCTTTACAGAACACATGCTATCAGGAAAACAAAAGGTCATATGGGAGCACCTAGCTGCCTAACAGGTGGGCCGGGCCTCTCTGAGAGGAGGCCTCCAGGCTGGATGGGAATTGTCCAGACCTGGGGTGGAGAAAGAGAGGAGGGAAACAGTTTTCGAGGTATTCACTGGCTCAGCCTTCCCAGCTGTAGGCTCTGTGCATTTCTGTGCCCGGCATGCATAGGCCATGGTTCCCCGTCCTCCTGGAGCTGTCTACTGGAGACAGGGAAGCAGGTCTCTAAATCAGTGACCACAGGTCAGTGGAAACTTCCATGATAGCTATGCCTAGGGGTCAATGGGAATGTGGATACAGGCATCTGACCCTCTGGGGGTGGGGGAGAGGGGATATCAGGAACGTCTTCCTGGAATGGACACCTGAGCCAAATCCTGAAGGCAGTGTGTCAGCCAGACAAGAGAAGGTCAGGAGGTGGCAGCCAGGCAGAGGGAACAGACATGGAGAAGGTGGTGGGAGAACAAGGTCACTTGTCCTGGCTGAAGCAAGTGGCAAGGAGACTGCTGACAACCTTTGGACTTGCAGTGGACTAAACACAGCAGAGAGATGGATCCATCCAGTAAGGCTGGGGCCTCTTCCAGGTAGATGGCGACAGAGATGAGCACAATGGAAATAATTTTGAAGTTTCTATAATCAAATGAGGTCAGGCAGCTCTGCACTTCCTCTGGCAGAACACACATTTAAAAGGAAAAATGTAAAGTCACTAAAGCCCAGAGCTGGAAAGCAGACACCATGAGGTCCTCCGGAAACAGAACCCCCTGGTGGACACGAATCTTTGAGTGAGTCACGTTTAGGAAGCTTGGATTTTCTGGGCCAAGAGCAAATCAGGAGAGAGAGTAAACAGAGAAGCAGTTCCTCCTTTCCTAGGCCGTGAAAGGTGAGAGGGCATCAGCCAGGCCTTCAAGCATCTGCATGAGGGACTTGTGGGGCAGGCACCAAGGGTTCCCTTGGCCCCTTCCCTTATTCTGCCCTGCTCGAGTCAGGCCCCTCACCTGATACTGGCTCCAGTCAATGTTTAGAGAGCAAGTCAGGAACTCGGGGATGCTCAGTGGGGCATCAACGTAGTCCTGGGGACAGAAAAGACACCTGTGAGATGCGGGCTGGCCACCAGGAGAAGCGATAACAGGGCAGGTTGTGGTCCTGAAGGTGTGGCTACCACAGACGGCCAGGATGTCCCTCCACAGTGCTTGCCTTCTCCTAGCCAGATGTCTGTGCTACTCTGGGAATGAGAGCTTAAAAATGAAAGGGACCAGGTACTTCTGCCCAGTGGAGTTTTCAGTTGGCCGTCTAACTGTTTACTGCTGAGACAGCTGTGACGGATCTGTGTTCAGCCTCCAGCAGGCTCCTGTGGCCTGCTCCCACCGGCTGGGGAAGGAACAGAATCCTGGTCCCACTCTTGACACAGATGGTGGAGCAAAGAGGAAAGACTCTCCTAACTTGTCCTTGAAAACTCCTTTAAAGAAAGGGAGAAATTAAAGGGGGAAAGGGAAGTATGTATGATGAGAATGTAAACATGTATATACAAGAAAAGGGAGAGAAAACAATGAGACTCATTCAGGAAAGAGAAGAAAAGGCAGTTGTTTTCGCCAAAAAGATCGCTAGCTGTTCTCCATGGTCTCCCTTCACGAAGAAACAGAAGGCCCAAGGTGATGAATGATATTGTTCATACCTGCTTCCAGTTGAAAATGAGCCCTTCAGCCATGTAATCCCGATCCTTATATTCCTTGAAAAATTCACAGCCTGGAAAAGAAGGGCAGAGTTATGGCACACTCTTTCTAGCCCAGTCTCCTGAGATGCCCCTGAGCTCTGCAGGACCGAGGGGGCCACCAGCTCACTCATGTCTCCACACTGGCAGGCCCCAGATGAAGCCACAGTTGACATGGGGTGGGGAGAGGGGACTAGAATGGGCAGGTGAGAGGCAGGGAACAAGCCTCCAAGCCACTCTGGTTTCTAGTTATATGCCTTCCCGAGGACGCACAACCTGCCTGCAAGCCTCTCTGTATCTCTCTCCATCTGTGCTCACTGGTTATTGGTGACCTCTCCCTCATTTGAGGTCCCCAGTCCCACATGCACCTGAAGTGCCAACAGCCAGCAAACAAAAAACGTGGCTTACAATGTGAGCCCTGTCAGTACTATCTCGGCAATTTATGTAGTTACTGAAGATCACTCCCCCGCTGCCCTAATACCAACCTCGCAGGCCGTCAGTGAGGACTGAACATTGTAACACACAGTGGGCCACAGTGCCTGAACTGTGACAGGCGCTCAAGAGACTCCTCCATCTCCAACAAACCTGGCCAAGACGCACTTTTCTGTATCACTCACTGGAAAAATGATAAGAAACTCCACTAGCGTAAACCCACAGGAACATGGAGAGGAAAAGTGGAAAGAAAAGGGCTTAGGCAACATTCCCAGCTTCTAATCTCAGCTTTCACTTAGCTCCGCGACTGCGAACAAGCTGAATTCTCTAAACCCTGATCTTCTCGTTTGTAACGCAGTTAAGGATAAAATGGAATAACGCGTATAAAATGCCTCGCTCAGCTCTGGTGCAAGTGACATTCACATGGCCGCATATGACCACAGTGCTGCTGCTGCAACAAGAGCCCAGTGCCAGGCAGCAGCTTTCAGCCAACTGTTTGGCTCTGGAAGGGTGAGGCTTGCTCACACCACAGCACAGGGAGCACCCACGTGCTGCTGTGGCTTCAAGCCACAGGATGGGAGAAGGCAATTCGAGAGTAGCTTCTTGCAGTTCCTCTCAGCTCCTCAACCAGGGCCAACACAAACTTTGGAGGACACATGACTTTGGTCACACGTCCCAGTTTGGTGAAGTCCCCAAAGGCAAAACAGTTGTTCAAATTCTGTTAAAGTGGCTACAAGCCAAAAATATTAACAGGTAACTCCCCATAGCTACTCTTGAACCAAGTTCCTGTCTGAGGTCACCCCAGGGGAAGAAGAAAAGGTTCCTTTGGAGATGAAGGTCTGGAGGCACAGCTCACATGTTTTGTAGACTTGGCTCTCATCCCTACACACTTCTGCACTCTAATCCCCCAAACCTCACTTCTGACTCAAAAGTCAGGAAACAATCCTCAGCTATAACACCTCAGCCTATTCCTAGCTGCTCACTGGGAGGAAGAAGAAATATAAATATCAGACAGAGAGCCTGAGCTTATGAGCCCAGGTTTAGAAGACATCAATTATCTCTCAGAGCTCCTGTGAAGTGCTGTTTTCCCAAACTCGAGCTGTTCCAATCAACACTGCAGGCTCTAGGATGAGTTCTGACCAGCCTATGATGCAGAAGCAATTTTTTGTGAGAAACAAATAGAATTAAAATAGACTTGGTACCCAGGGCAATTTCTAACATTCATTACCTGAACAGACTTCTGAACCTAGTGAGAGGTAAGAGGAATGGGACCAAAAGTGGGGTGAGAACAGCCACACTCAAGGAGGAAACAAATTAGGCTCATGCTGGGAGTTTTCAGTCCCATCTATTTCAGTTCCCTGAGGGAAATGCTCTCAGAACACTTCCCACTTTCAAGGGCCAGTCTAAGCACAAGTTGGTTTGACAGAACTAGAACTGATACCATCATAGTTCCTATCTTGGATTCAAGGTCATTAGCAGGCTCAACTGAGACCCCTGAACCTCAGCAAAGGACATTTCATTACTTGGTTTGGATAATGGTAATTTTGTTTCTTTTCCTTTTTATGAAGCAATACAGGCATGCAAAGAAATTCAAGAATATAAGTATAGCAAATAAAAAGTGCATCTCCTGCCCGGCTGGGCGTGGCTCAGTGGTTGAGCGTTAACCTAGGATCCAGGCAATCGGGGTTCGATTCCCGGTCAGGGCACATGCCCGGGTTGTGGGTTTGATCAATGACTTTTTCATCATTGATGTTTCTATCTCTCTCTCTCCCTCTCCATTCCTCTCTGTGAAATCAATAAAGATATATTTAAAAAAAAAAAAAAAAAAGCGCATCTCCTGTCCCCTTATCTGCATGTGCAATAGTATCTCCCGGACCTGCGGCTCTTTTTTTATCGATTCCTCCCACCCACCCCTCAATACATCAACTATCAGATGTAATTTATAAACACTTTGGGAAGAACAGGGCAAAAATTCACAGCACATCATCTTACAATTTTAGCATATTTCCTTCTCGACCTTCTGTGTAGGCACTTTTCCCCTTACACAGTCAAAACTGTACTACAGCGCCCCTCCTTATTCATGGGGGATGTGTTCTAAGACCTCCAGTGGATGCCTGAAACTGCAGATAGTACCGAACCTTATATGTACTGTTTCCTACATGTACATACACTTTACAGCTTCTCTTTGGCATATCTGCCTTGCCAGCATCACTATTCTTATGCTTTGGGGCCATTATTAAGTAAAATAAGGGTTACTTGAACACAAGCAGTGCGATACCATGACAGTTGGTTGATCTGATAGCTGAGATAGCTACTAAACGGCTAATGGGCGGGTATAGCGTAAACAACGTGGATAAGCTGGACAAAGAGATGATGCACATCTGGGGCAGACGGAGAGGGCCAGCGTGAGATTTCATCACACTACGCAGAATGGCACGCAATTTAAAACTTATGAACTGTTTACTTCTGGCATTTTCCATTTAATATTTTCAGACTGTGGTTAACCAAGGATAACCAAAACTGCAGAAAATGAAATCGCAAATAAGGGGGGACCACTTTATATTATTTCGTATCCTGCTTAGCATCTTAAGCATTTTTCCATGTCAAAAAGTTAAAGCATTTTTCTACAACTATATATTTCATTCTATCAATGGTTGTACCACCATCATTTACATAATCATTATTCTGATAAATGAAAACATTTCCCACATTTTGCTGGTATAAACAGACATGATGAACATCTTTACCCCCCAATTTAGCAGGATTATGGCCTAATAAATAACCGAGACAAAAGGTGTTAACATTTTGGGAGTCTTGTAACAAGTTGCCAAAATATAGCAGAAAGGATACTGTGCTGTTGTTCTGGAGCAGTGGTTTTTAAGCTTCTAGCAAAAATAGTTTTTGTAATGAAGTCCTACTTAGAACCTAAATATAAACAAAGAACACGACGCCTGGTTCCTCAGGCAATGCAGACCTTTCCTGTTCTGCAGAGAACCAAAGCATCTCCTGGAAGCCGAGAGCCTGGTCTGAAATCCAGATCTATCTGATAGCTCCAGTGTGGACACCCTGGTTGACACACTCCTGTCCTGGAGCAGCTCTGATGTCGGCAATCATTCTCATGGAATCATTCTGGTCTGCATCTGCCCAATGTGGCTCTTAGGGAAGGGGAGCCTCCCTGAGCCATTCCTCCCATGTACCCATCGTCTGGCCTGGTGTTTGCCAAGTGCCTTTTAGGAATGGGGCTGGTATTTTACCCTGAAATAAGCACCATTATTTCCATTTTATGGAGGATGAAACCGATGCTTAGAAGGGTTAGGGACTTGTTCAAGGATGCACAGTTCTACAGCTGGGACTCAAGCCCAGCTCTGCATGGAACCAAATGCTATGCTGGCAGAGAAGAGTGAAGAGACACTGTGGTGGAAGCAGCTGTAAGAGTACCAGGCTATCTGGGGTCACCAGCTTATCCTGATGAGGATATGCTCTCCCCACCAGGCACCAGATGAACTTGCAGTTCTAACGAGAAGGCCTCCTGGCTATACAGCAACCTGCTGTCACTGGCCTGCCCGTGCTATTGGCTATGTGGTTCCAGGATGAGGAGACAAGGTCCAGCACAGGACTGAAGGCAGATGCTGGTGCTGAGAAGCAGGAGAGATGTTTCAAGGAGAAAAAGTATGCTTCCTGCTGTTTGCTGACAAAGTTTTACGCTGCTGTTAGGGCTCCTTGGACTCCCTTGCTGAACAAAGAGGCACTGCCAGATAATTAAATGTCACCAACTGGACCAACACATCTCTAGTATTCAAAGAATACTGTCTGGGCCATACATGTCTGTGCACCAGAGACAAATGCAGCTAGCTCTGTGCACAGCAAAGTGCTCTGCAACATGGCGAGGCCACCACCAACTATGTATAACCGGGGCAGAGCAACTGTACCCTTCTACCACCAGAACAGCCTTGCAAACAGGTTTCACATCCACTCAGGTCAGAGTAGCATGATTCGCTGCTGACCCTGAGTCCTAATAACGCCTTTTTATCCCTTACCTGCACAGAGCACTTTGATGAGCATGATCTAACCTTCACAACAAAACCCTGAGCTATGCCGTTTTTGCTTCCAATGACACCTGAGAAAGCGTCAGGCTCCGAGAGGTGAAGTAACTCACTCAAGGTTGTGGCAGTGAGTGCCTGAGCCAGGACTCAATCCCTGGACCCCTCCAAGTGGAAAGCCTCTTTCAGGACAGCGCCCTACCCTGAGTGTGAAAGCCTACGACTGGGAGCCACAGTGTGCAATGCTGACTGCCACAAGATCCTTGCAGACAACTCCAGGACACTTATGTGCCTAAGTGCAAAAGGCCTACAGACAGCCTCTGAGAGCCCCTGGTCCTTGGAAGCCTGTCACTGGACTAGACCCTGAAAAGAGCTCCCTACCTGGATACGGGATGGAGAGGAGAGTGAAGTCGGCATAGCGCTGGGCTTTGTCCACCTTCTCGGAGGAGGTTACACTACAAGACAGGACACAATGTGTTATGACATCACAACACATACACACCATCCCCAGTGAGTATTATAAGAACTTAAAAGAACCTCTTGCTAAAGAAACTACTCCTCAGAGTTACAAATGATTTCCATCAGCAGTGTTTCCTTTGAACAATTAAGAAATGTAGCTGCCCCCTACCCTAACACATCAAGGGAGAGAGGTTCCTCTCCCTCTAATACTGCGGCAACCACAACAGGAACCTAAATGTGCAGCACAACCTTCCACCTAAGCCCCACAAGTGAAGGCAGCATAGCCACTCGGACCTGGAGGGCGGCGTTAAGATGAGAGCCAAATAACTTGGGGACTCTCACCTCAATACTCACTAAGGACACTTCTAAACGGGGACAAACAGCATCTGAAAGGTAAAGACTTAGGGCTGTCCTGACAGATGAAGGAGGAAGGGATAAGGGACTATTCAGATATCTGCAGATAGCTGAACTGTAACTTAGCCTCAGTATGCCTTATTTTCTAGGACGACCTCAACATAATTAAAAGTCTATTATAAAAAATAAATAAAATTTCAGAAAAGCTCCTACAATTGCATCTTCCTTACCCAGGTTCCATTTTTTCAAGTTTTGCCTTATCACATGAAGATTTGGACCATATGCAAAGTAAAAATTGGATATATACTGATTTTTGTTTGTTTGTTCCACTACAAAAGAGACTCTAATCTACCAGATATGGTGTAGAACTTGGAGCCAAAGGAAAACCTTCAAGGGTGTCTAGGAAGAGGATGCAGCAGAGCACAGGTTAGAGACTCCTGGCTCCTTCAGTTACTATCTGGATGACCTTGAGCAAGTTACTTAACCTCTGTGCTTTAGTTTCTTGCCTGCAAGATGGGCAACACTAGAACCTGTCTTGCAGGCCTGTTTGAAGATACAATGAAAGGAAGACAGAAAGCCTACAGCACAAGGCCTGGCACGTGGTGAGCCCTCAGTAACTGCTATGTGCTACCACTAACCCGAACGCCTGTGGACACATCACCTCTGCCCATTTCACAGTGGGTGCCCTGTACTTACTTCATGCCAAACTTCACCTTCTTGTTCTCTACCATCAGGTCACAGATGTATTTCACTGACAGGTACCGAAGCAGCTTGATGTCAGAGCCTCTGACCTTATCAAAAAGATGCGTGTCGGAACTTCTGAAACAAAGAGCCAGAGGGAGAAGTTGCACTGCACATTCATTAAGAAAAGTCTGGGGGGTGGGGACCGTGTTCAAGGAAGAGCAGATGTCATTGGCAAGAACTTGTTTCCCTTCTCCAGAAGAGGGAGGAGAGACAGGGAAACTGTTTCTAGAAAAGGTGCAGAGAAGGTGACTTTCTAAGAGATTACCCCTCATCCTTCTCTGGGGTGCATTTCAAAGCAGCAATTTTCAGCCCTGAACCAGGAAAAGGCCTTTTGGCCCAGCTTGACATTAAGCCAGAAGACTCAAGGTAATCTCCAAGTTCTAAAAAGCAGCAAGCTGGTGGCTGATAGTCTTTGAGCTTCCATTAGAGTTTATATCCCTCCACCTTTATGACCATTTTTAGCCATGGCTTGGTCATAATGTAACAGACTGAGATTCTTGATGGGAGATGGACCTTTTAAAGCTATCGTATCAACTGATTGTGAAATACTAGCAAGTGAATTCCTTCTATTTAGCAGGCCTATGAAGCAGGAGAAAGATAAAATCTTCCTAATCCCCAGACTGCCTTCAGATCAGTCACACAGATTAAGGCAAAAGTAGAATGAGTCAACAGTCACCATTATTTTTTTTTAATGCCCACTGCTTAGTTGTCCCTGGCAGTCTCCTCACCAAAAACAGTGTTAGGCTGTGGAAGCCGGCCTGGCTGAGGCAGAGGTCGTCTGACCTCGGGGGAAGAGCCAAACATTCCTGAGCACAAGCCAGCACTGCTGCTCTTGGAACTAACAAGCAGAACCCCAGGCACAGTGTGATGCCTTCCAGGGACTGAGCCATGATCTGAGGCAGCTGATCTTACTAGGGTGCTCATGTGCATTCCAGAGACACTTGATACCAGTTAAAGACTTCCCATGTGGTACACACCATGCAAAGGAGCTTTTCCAAAATATCCTATAGTGTTGTTTTCTAAAAACATTTAGAAAGAAGGTACAAAGAGAGTGAACCAGCCCATCTCCTGCCTTTAAGGGGACCTAAGATACTGGTTTGTATCAAGTAATCTTATGGCACCAGTTATACAGCTGTGGAGCTTCTCGTCTCTCCATCTCTCACATGGGTACTGAAGCCCTTTCCGTGTCTCAGCACCAAGTGTGCTGTGTGACACCTGGCAGGCAAGCCGGCCGTCACCACCCTGGCCACACCCTGGAACCTGTAGGACTTAAAGACAAACACAGGTGTCTGGGCCTTGTCTTTGTAGTACAAGGAAGCCCAGGGCTGGGACATTATCTCTGGGATCCTGATATAGAGCCAGAGTGAAGAAAGACTGCTCAGGTATTCAATAAAGTCAGCTGTGGTGTGAAACTATGTGATGGACTTCAACAACCCCATTTCATGGACTTGACAGTGGGAAGAAGGGAGCCAATCCACTCACCTGGGCCAGGGATGAATTTGAATCAGTATGAAAATGGCCACCACTGGTCAGACACCCGACCCCAAAAGCTTAGACACATAACAACCTGGCACTGACCGAAGAGCACAGTCCTCCTCCGTGATGTCCTCTGCATCCGCCCAGGCATCATCTGCACCCCCTGCCAGAGAAACCTGTCTGTCAGCACTGAGGTGGTGGCATGGGTTCCACCCAGGGGCTTCCCAACCAGCCTCATACCCCACCAGAGCTCCACCCCTACCGGCAGACCTTGTGTCTTTTCAGCACCAGACGTCCCATATGCTGGCAGTCTTCCATCCCAAACATTGCCTCAGGTGATAAAAGGCCCCTAGTCTCTCCCCAGCTCCTACCCCTCTACCTACACCACTGTGGCCGGTGGTAGAGGTTCTCTAGGACTGGGCTCTTGCTCTTAGTAACAGAGGACACAGCTTAACATTCACCTGAGAAAATATAGTTGTAGCCAGTACGTCCATACAGCTCCCCCCATCCAGCCAGTGTGGCTGACCTGCAAATGTGCTGCGGGAGAAAGAGAATTTCCAGGGTCAGATAGTTTTTTAGGGTTTTGTTTTTTCCAGCTTTATTGAGATATGACATTATGCAAGTTTAAGGTGTACAACATGCTGATTTGATACACTCATATATTGCAAAATCATTACCACCACAGTGTTAGCTAACACCTCCATCATGTCACATAATGAGCATTTCTTTTTTGTGGAAAAACATTTAAGATCATCTCTCTGCGTCCCTGTTCAGGTAGCTCAGTTGGTTAGAGCATCGTTCCGATACACCAACATTGTGGATTCAATCTCCGGTCAAGGCACATACAAGAATCAACCAAAGAATGTATATAAGTGGAACAACCAATTGATGCTTCTCTCTCTCTCTCAAAAAAAATCCTCTCTGTGATTCTCAAATATAACTATAATCACCATGCTATACATTAGATCCACACAGAACTTCTTTGTCTTATTACTGGAGGTTTATACCCTTTGACCAATAGTCAGTTGGTTTTCTGAAGTACGCAGTCAAAGGAACACTTGGACTCCTGATTCTTCTAAGCCAGCAAAATGGGTGCAGGGACACTCACCGAAGTTTAATCAGCACTGCGGCCACAGCAGTCAACCTGAAGTATACCTAGATTTAGATTTAACCTACAGCCTCTTTCAAGGGGGTAGCTCCCCAGATGAGTGGCACCAGAGTGTTACTAACTGTAATGGACATATTTAGTGGTTGTCACATGTGTACTTGGGTAAGGTTTGGTGGTTATCACACGTGTATATGTGCTGGGCATGGTACTGAAACATTTACACCATCTTTTCACTGTTTTCACAATGAGCCCATGAGGTAGATGTGGCAGGTGGCAGGCTGCTTCACAGGCACAGGGAGGTGAAGTGACGTGGAAGGTCATACAATGAGTAGCTGAGATTTGGTCTAGAACCACCTACCTCCAAAGCCTGTGTGCTTATGGTTACCTGGAACTGTGTAGTGCTGGACGAGCAACCTTTGAAGCAGGAGGGCCAATTATGGGAGAAATATATGTTTGTTTGTTTTTAAAAAGTTATTATATCTTCTCTCTCCCCTGTATCAAGGAAATGTCGTAGCTAGAGATGTGCAGTCAGGGTGGCTGAGAGATTACACTAGAGAAAAAGGAAGCTGCAAGCTGACAGAGAGGGGGTGAAGCCATTTCTGAAGGGGTCACACAGTCTGGCAATGTAAAGTGGGTCTCTAGAAGACCACAAAATACTGCCTTCTCCTTCTCTACCTGTAAGATAATGGAAATGGTTGTGTGAGTCGGAACTTCAGGCATTCTAAGGTAGTGGCAGCCTGGGGGAGGGGGCCGGGAATAGAAAAGCAAATATAATCTGGGCAGAGTGGGGTGCTTTTTCAGTGCTGGGGGCAAGAACGGAAGGTCGCCTAAAAGTCTAAGGGCTTGGGCTGGAATTTCTGCTGGCCTAAGCAGGATGAACTCTGACAGGAGCTGCTTAACTTTTTCTAGGTCCAAAAGCATTTTGAAAACCTGATGAAAACGATAAACTTTTTCCAGAAAAAAATGTACACACCACACTTTACCTACACTTCAGGGGTTTCTGGACCCTCCTCCCAAGTGCATCTATGGACCCAGCTCTAGCCCTTGTTAAGAGCCCCTGTGCGAAGGTGACCGGACAACAATTAGGAGCAGCAAAGTTGAGAGCAGCAGCAGGGAAGTATCAACCCCCAGGCTGAGGACCCCAAGACCCTAATGATAAGTGGGGAGGGGTCTGATTCCTGAAAGCAAGACAATGGGGCATGTGGCTTGTTTGAGCTCTACTGGCATGTGTTATCAGGCCCACCCTTCCCCATCAGCTAAGCGGCTGGCACCAAATCCACTCGTCTTTGCCATTTTTCTGTAAAATAGTTTCAGAGCACACGCACACCCCTCTTTGAGCTCTGAGGCGTTTCTTGAACTGCTGAAGGTTCAGGTACCTCTTTCTGCCCTGTTCTCCAATCCCTTTGATCTGTACTTGTCCTCTGGTAACTGAGGCAGCCAGAGAACTAGTCAGGAAAAGAGTAGCTAAGTTGGCCTACTCATCAAGTGGGACACCAACCTCTGTGGGAAGGTCCTGGGCTGGTGTCGGGGAGCTGTACCCCACTTCAGAGTCTAACTCCTGACGGCTGCTCCCTAGCCTCAAGGCTCCCATTCATAACTCATCATTTCTGCGCCTGAAGCTTAGCTCTTAACTGGAAAAGCGGGGTGCACTCTGAATGCTCTTCATTTACCTAATTCTGAATGAGGAATACTGCTCTGTATAATTCGCTAATCTAGCAACCAACTCTGGCACTCAGAATAAAAGTGGCTGACCTCTGCTCCCCATCTCTTAAGGGGGGAAGCAAAGAGAAAGATGATTTGTCCTAATTTTAATTGTCTAAAAAACAGATACAAGAGTTAAGAAAAAAAATGGCATGGGAGAACATACTACCCTTAAATGCTTAAACTGAGGTTTAAAAAATATTTAATAATATATCTTATTTAACCTACTATATCCACAATATGTGAACATATAATCATTTTAAAATTATTAATATTTACATTCTTTTATTAAGTCTTCAAAATTTGATATGTATTATAGCACATCTCAACTAGGATGCTTTATTTTCAGCATTTAAAGGGAAATATACTGCTTCTTGGCCTTTTGGCTAAGATCAAGTGTAAAGGGAAATGTAGTCCTCTCCCAAAATAAAGCTGTGTTTAGCTAAAAAAAAGTCCTATAAAATGTAAATTAATTGAAATAAAATAAAATTAATGAAAATGGAAAAAAACAAGAAAGCTAGGGTAGCAATACTTATACCTGACAAAATAGACCTTAAAACAAAGGCCATAACAAGAGACAAAGAAGGACCCAGCAATCCACTTCTGGGTATTTATCTGAACAAAACCAAAACACTAAATTGCAAAGACATATGCATCCATATGTTCATTACAGCAGTATTTACAATAGCCAAGATATGGAAGCAACCTAAGTGTCCATCAACAGATGAATGGGTAAAGAAGTGGTGTGTATATACAATGGACTATGACTCAGCCATTAAAAAGAATGAAATCTTGTCATTGGCAACAACATAGAGGGATCTAGAGGGTACTGTGTTGAAATAAGACAAAGAAAGACAAATGCCATATAAATCACTTATATATGTAATCTAAGAAACAAAATAAACAAGCAGACCAGAAATGGACTCGTAGATACAGAAAACATTTTGGCAGTTGCCAGATGGGTGGGGGTTGAGGGGATGGGTGAAAAAGGTGAAGGGATTAAGTATAAATTGGTAGTTACAGAATAGTCATGGGGTTCTAAAGTACAGCATAGGAAATGTAGTCAATAATATTGTAATAATTATGTATGGTGTCAGATGGGTACTAGATTTACTGGGGTGTTCACTTTGTGAGTTATATCAATGGCTAATCACTGGGTTGTGCATAATATTGTACATCAACTATAATTATAAGTAAAAATTTATTTAAAAAAAATAAGGTACAAACTTCCAGTTATAAAATAAGTCATGGGGGTGTAATGTACAGTATGGTGACTAGAGTTAATAATACTGTACTGCATATCTGAGAGTGGTTAAGAGCAGAGATCTTAAAAATTCTCATCCCAAGAAAACAAAATTGTAACTGTAGTGAGTTAATTGGACTTATGGTAGTGATTACTTTGCAATACATACAAATAATGAGTCGTTATGTTGAACACCTGAAACTAATATAATGTTATGTGTCAATTATACTTCAATTAAAAATAATAAAGAGCCCTGGCTGGTTTTCTCAGTGGTTAGAGCGTCGGACCCCAGGACTAAAGGGTCCTGGTTGGGGCCTGTTCGAGAGGCAACCAATCGATGTGTCTCTCTCATATCATTGTCTCTCTTTCTCTCCCTCTCTTTCTCCTCCTTCCCTC